GCTGGCCTCCTGCTCTTCCACCGGACCCACACTGCCGCTGTGCGGGCCTCCTGCTCTTCCACCGGACCCACTGCCGCTGTGCGGGCCTCCTGCTCTTCCACCGGACCCACACTGCCGCTGTGCGGGCCTTCCTGCTATTCCACCGGACCCACTGCCGCTGTGCTGGCCTCCTGCTCTTCCACCGGACCCACTGCCGCTGTACTGGCCTCCTGCTCTTCCACTGGACCCACACTGCTGCTGTGCTGGCCTCCTGCTCTTCCACTGGACCCACACTGCCGCTGTGCGGGCCTCCTGCTCTTCCACTGGACCCACTGCCGCTGTGCGGGCCTCCTGCTTTTCCACTGGACCCACTGCCGCTGTGCGGGCCTCCTGCTTTTCCACTGGACCCACACTGCCGCAGTGCTGGGCCTCCTGCTCTTCCACTGGACCCACTGCCGCTGTGCGGGCCTCCTGCTTTTCCACTGGACCCACACTGCCGCAGTGCTGGGCCTCCTGCTCTTCCACTGGACCCACTGCCGCTGTGCGGGCCTCCTGCTTTTCCACTGGACCCACACTGCCGCAGTGCTGGGCCTCCTGCTCTTCCACTGGACCCACTTCCGCTGTGCTGGGCCTCCTGCTCTTCCACTGGACCCACACTGCCGCTGTGCGGGCCTCCTGCTCTTCCACTGGACCCACACTGCCGCTGTGCGGGCCTCCTGCTCTTCCACTGGACCCACACTGCCGCTGTGCGGGCCTCCTGCTCTTCCACTGGACCCACACTGCCGCTGTGCGGGCCTCCTGCTCTTCCACTGGACCCACGGCCGCTGTGCTGGCTCCTGCTCTTCCACTGGACCCACACGGCCGCTGTGCTGGCCTCCTGCTCCTCCACTGGACCCACTACCGCTGAGCGGGCCTCCTGCTCCTCCACTGGACCCACTACCGCTGTGCGGGCCTCCTGCTTTTCCACTGGACCCACTGCCGCTGTGCGGGCCTCCTGCTCTTCCACTGGACCCACACTGCCGCTGTGCTGGGCCTCCTGCTTTTCCACTGGACCCACACTGCTGCTGTGCTGGGCCTCCTGCTCCTCCACTGGACCCACTACCGCTGTGCTGGGCCTCCTGCTCCTCCACAGGACCCACACTGCCGCTGTGCGGGCCTCCTGCTCCTCCAAAGGACCCACAGCTGCCGCTGATGCGGGCCTCCTGCTCTTCCACCATGACCCACTGCCGCTGTGCGGGCCTCCTGCTCCTCCAACGGGACCCACCACTGCCGCTGGTGCGGGGCCTCCTTGCTTTCCACTGGACCCACACTGTCCGCTGTGCTGGCCTCCTGCTCCTTCCACCGACCACCTGCCGCTGTGCGGGCCTCCTGCTTTTCCACCTGACCACACTGCGCTGTGCGGGGCCTCCTGCCTCTTCCACCTGGGCCCCCACACTGCCGCTGTGCGGGGCCTCCTGCTTTTCCACTGGACCCACTACCGCTGTGCTGGCCTCCTGCTCTTCCACTGGACCTACTACCGCTATGCGGGCCTCCTGCTCTTCCACTGGACCCACACTGCCGCTGTGCGGGCCTCCTGCTTTTCCACCGGACCCACACTGCCGCTGTGCTGGCCTCCTGCTCCTCCACTGGACCCACTACTGCTGAGCGGGCCTCCTGCTCCTCCACTGGACCCACTACCGCTGTGCTGGGCCTCCTGCTCTTCCACTGGACCCACACTGCCGCTGTGCTGGCCTCCTGCTCCTCCACTGGACCCACACTGCCGCTGTGCGGGCCTCCTGCTTTTCCACTGGACCCACTACCGCTGTGCGGGCCTCCTGCTCTTCCACTGGACCCACACTGCCGCTGTGCGGGCCTCCTGCTCTTCCACTGGACCCACTACCGCTGTGCGGGCCTCCTGCTCTTCCACTGGACCCACACTGCCGCTGTGCGGGCCTCCTGCTCTTTCACTGGACCCACACTGCTGCTGTGCTGGGCCTCCTGCTCCTCCACTGGACCCACTACCGCTGTGCTGGGCCTCCTGCTCTTCCACTGGACCCACACTGCCGCTGTGCTGGCCTCCTGCTCCTCCAAAGGACCCACACTGCCACTGTGCGGGCCTCCTGCTTTTCCACTGGACCCACACTGCCGCTGTGCTGGGCCTCCTGCTTTTCCACTGGACCCACTACCGCTGTGCGGGCCTCCTGCTCTTCCACTGACCCACTACCGCTGTGCGGGCCTCCTGCTCTTCCACTGGACCCACTGCCGCTGTGCTGGCTCCTGCTCTTCCACTGGACCCACACTGCCGCTGTGCGGGCCTCCTGCTCTTCCACTGGACCCACTACCGCTGTGCGGGCCTCCTGCTCTTCCACTGGACCCACTACCGCTGTGCGGGCCTCCTGCTCTTCCCCTGGACCCACTACCGCTGTGCGGCCTCCTGCTCTTTCCACTGACCCACACTGCCCGCTGTGCGGGCCTCCGCTCTTTCACTGACCCACACTGCTGCTGTGCTGGGCCTCCTGCTCCTCCACTGGACCCACACTACCGCTGTGCGGGCCTCCTGCTCCTCCACTGGACCCACTACCGCTGTGCTGGGCCTCCTGCTCTTCCACTGGACCCACTACCGCTGTGCGGGCCTCCTGCTCTTCCACTGGACCCACACTACCGCTGTGCGGGCCTCCTGCTTTTCCACTGGACCCACACTGCTGCTGTGCGGGCCTCCTGCTCTTCCACTGGACCCACTGCCGCTGTGCGGGCCTCCTGCTCCTCCAATGGACCCACACTGCTGCTGTGCTGGGCCTCCTGCTCCTCCACTGGACCCACTACCGCTGTGCTGGGCCTCCTGCTCTTCCACTGGACCCACACTGCCACTGTGCGGGCCTCCTGCTCTTTCACTGGACCCACACTACCGCTGTGCGGGCCTCCTGCTTTTCCACTGGACCCACACTGCCGCTGTGCGGGCCTCCTGCTCTTTCACTGGACCCACACTGCTGCTGTGCTGGGCCTCCTGCTCCTCCACTGGACCCACTACCGCTGTGCTGGCCTCCTGCTCCTCCACTGGACCCACACTGCCACTGTGCGGGCCTCCTGCTTTTCCACTGGACCCACACTGCCGCTGTGCTGGGCCTCCTGCTTTTCCACTGGACCCACTACCGCTGTGCGGGCCTCCTGCTCTTCCACTCACCCACTACCGCTGTGCGGGCCTCCTGCTCTTCCACTGGACCCACTGCCGCTGTGCGGGCCTCCTGCTCTTCCACTGGACCCACACTGCCGCTGTGCGGGCCTCCTGCTCTTCCACTGGACCCACTACCGCTGTGCGGGCCTCCTGCTCTTCCACTGGACCCACACTGCCGCTGTGCGGGCCTCCTGCTCTTCCACTGGACCCACACTGCCGCTGTGCACGCCTCCTGCTCTTCCACTGGACCCACACTGCCGCTGTGGGGGTTCCTGCTTGCACACAGCAGACTGTGGGCCTGCTCAGCTCCCTTCATCATGTGAGCCAATTCTCCATAATCTCTCATTTCTTTTGTTGTTGTTAATCCTCACCCAAGACTATTTTTCCATTGATTTGTTAGAAGAGTGGAAGGAAGGGAGAGAGAGAGAAACATCAATTGGTTGCCTCCCACACAACACCAACCAGGCTGGGAATCATACCTGTAACTCTGGTCCAAGGGCCAATACTCTAACCGCTGAGCAACTGGCCAGGGCTTCTGGTTTCTTTGTAAATCTATAAGTATCCTATTTGTTCTCTGTCTTTGGAAAGCCTGAATACACTTATTTTGGATTCTGTTTGGCCGATGTTCAGAAATTATAATCTAGATCATGACTATAAGGATTTGTCTAAATTGTCTCCTTCCTCCAGGGAACATTAATTCTGCCATTGGTTTAGGAATATAGGATGCTAGTCTTTGAAAAAGACTGGGCAGATCTCAGAAAAAAATGTAACTGATAAGAGATAAGAGATTATCCCACATTAGCCTGAGGTAAGATTTAGGATTAAGTTAAGCAATTGGCACAATTGTACCCAAATGTGAATCTACAAAGTCTTGATTTATCTTCATTTAAATATATTTTGTTTACCACAATAAATGATCATTTAAAAAGGTACACAAAGTTGAAACATTGTGACATACTTCATTCTAGGATTAATATATCAAGATCTCCTGCTGGATGGCTTTGAAACATCACATCTTGGATGTACTCTAATTTATTCAAGCATCTTCCCACCGTTAAATATCTAAGTTAATTGATATCACAGATAATGCTGAAACGAGCATTTGAAGAAATCTGCTTTGAAGGAGAGAGTGCTTATTTGGAGATGCAGCTCAGGCATCACCTCACAGAGAAGCCTGGGAAAGGTAACCTGACATCCTGGAATATGCTGGAATAATGGAAGAGGGGCAAGGGGAGGAAGCCAGACCACGAGGGGGACAATGGGGAAAATGGACAGGAGAGGCGAAGGAGCCAGAGGGAGGGGGAGGGGAGATGGCTCATAGGATCCACCAGGGGTCCAGGGGGTTTCAGCTGCTGAATAAAGGATATGGTCAGAGGTCGGGATGCTGTCGGAACACAGGCATTCTGATGTTGCAGGGTGGGCGCACATAGAGCAGGGACTTTGGACACATGCCTGGGGGAGGGGCAAAGCTACAGGTTTGGGTGGGAACAGCAGGGCTTACCGTAGGCAGGGAGAGGCCTGGGCTGTGAGGAGGGAGCTACGAAGGGATGAGCAACTTCCCCAGGCTAAGGAGCTCCAGCTGGTCTCCCTGCGCTACCTTGTCCTGCCTCTGCTGGTCGGTGTAGTTGGACCGGGTTCAAATCCTGGTGCAAGCTCAGCCACGCCCCGGTTAGCCCCAGCCTGCACTCCCGCTGGGCCTCAGGTCCCAGCTCCACCTCAGCCCGTGGCCGGTCACAAGACAGGAGGTGCCAAACTGGACAGTTGCCAAACCCATGTGGCTTAGTTTGTTGTCCCTGACAGAGACCCAGGGAGTTTCTGCAGAAGAAAAAGAGGGACTGTTCCCCCTCCTTCCACGTGGAGCTGCTTCTCTCAAACACCCGGAGCAGAAGTGTGCTGCCGCAGGAACGAGGAACACGGACACCAGAGATAGTGTGTCTAAGGGCATTAGGTTTATTCTGTGCGAAGGCAGAGCTTGGGGCTCTCGCAAGGCACCCGGGAGGCACAGAAGCAAAAGCAGCCGAGAGTGACTCGGAGGACGCCCCACAGCCAGCGCCAGAGGAACCTCCATCCCAGCGCCCCTCGGTGGAGGGGTAAGCAGATGGTCTGCTTTTTATACCACTGGTTGTGCTTCCTCTGGGCATCCTTAAAGTCTGGCAGCCGCGGCTGGAGGCACCGGGCCCATCCACTTCTCTCCTGGATGGAGAAAATCACGCATATCTGAGGCTGGCTCCGCAAGCCCCCCGTTTCTCTCGGGAGACCTGTGCCTGGCTTCAAGGTACAGAGGCCTCCTTCTCTACTACAGGGGTGAAGGCGGCCCCGCCCCATTCAACCTCAAGCACCCTGTGTCGACAGAAGGCCTCCTTGTTGGACATACCTAGACCACGTTTTGCTCTGGATCTGTCCTTCTGGTCATCTGATATAATGGCAGTGGGACTGGGGTCAAGGGCAGCTCGGTGTCAACCTGTCACTTACCCAGCAGGTGTGCCAGCAGCTCCATCCGGTCAGAGCCAAAGAGCATGTGGGTTTGGCCATCCAAGTGGGCCACGGTGACAGGCAGCCCAAAGGCCTAGAGAAAGCAGTGAAGTGCAGGGAGGAAGGTGGCCCTCAGGCTGGGGTCACAGGCACGCAGGGCCTGAGCCAGCACTTGTCTGAGGTCATGGGCACAAACAGCCAGAGGTGTCTGTGAGGCCCTGTGGCTCCAAGCGTTTTCTAACTCTCAAAAGTTCTGTTTTTCTTTTTTGGTTAACCCTCACCTGAGGATATTTTTCCATTGAATTTTAGATAGAGTGGAAGGGAAGGAGGGAGAGAGGGAGAGAAATATCGATGTGAGAGAGACACATCGATTGGCTGCCTCCCACACAACCCAGACTGGGGCCAGGGATCGAACCAGCAACCCAGGTACATGCCTTTGACTAGAAATCAAACCCAAAACCCTTCGGTCCTTGCGCCGACGCTCTATCCACTGACCAAACTGGCCAGGGCTCAGGTGCTCTTTCATCACCATCTGTCTCCCCCTCTCCCTTTCCTTGGGCTCAGGACAGGAGGGAGGGGAGGCTCAGCTGGGAGAGCTAGGGAGGACCCGGTGCTCTCAGGCTCTGTGCAGCACATCACGAGTGGCTCACCCCGTATTTGCAGGCCTTGTCGGTGGTCTCCTTGAGCTGGTTCTTCACCTGCGGCGTTGCTATCTTTTCCAGAAGTCCCCGGGCTTGTTCTGTCGACATGCCAGCCTTCTCTGCCGCCTGAGGGACGTGGCAGGGAGCACAAAGGTGTCTGCATTAGTGGGGCCTCTCAGGAGAAAACGCGAGTCTTTCTACTGTCTGTCCCCAATTTTTCCTGCAAGGGCCTTTACCCATCCATGAGCAGAGGTCTATCCTTGCTAAGAGGGGCTATTTTCTTTCTTCAAAACCTTAAGTTTGGTGGGAAAACGGTTGGCAGTTATAGTTGCATAAATTTTTTTAAAAAATGTTTTTATTGATTTTTTAGAGAGAGAGGAAGGGAGAGAGATAAAAACATTGATGTGAGAGAGATACATTGACTGGCCGCCTCCTGCATGCCCCCCACTAGGGATTGAGCCCACAACCTGGGCATATGCTCTGACAGGGAATCGAACCGGGACCTCTCAGTCCATGGAACAACGCTCAGTCCACTGAGCCACACCAGCCCAGCTATAGTTGCATAAATTTAACACCAGAAGGCATCTTAGAGACAGCTCCTGACATCTTTCTTCAGTAACCAAACAGGAGACAGATCCAGGTAGTGCCCGACTTGGTCAGATTAAGAGCTGGGTCATAGCAGAGCCAAAGCAAGAATCCAAGTCCCAGACATTAAGTCTGGGGCTCTTGCCTTCCCACTTCTTGGACTCCTGAATACCTCATGGTTTTTTGGTTTTTGTTTTTACATCAAGGCTGCGCTCTAGCTCCCATGGAGTTTCCTAGGGAATTCTAAGCAGGGCACGCAGCTGGAGCACCGCCTGGCTTCAAGAGAACGGTACAGGCGTCACTTTGGGGTTTGTTATTCTTTGGGACCAGTGGTCTGGTTGCACAGTAGAATCTCCTGGGGGAGCTTTTAAGAACCCCAACTCACAGGCCATCCCCTGGAACAATTACACTGGAATTTCGGGGGTGGCATGTCACCCAGGTGTTCAAGGTGATTTTAATATACAGCCAAGTTCAAGGACCACTGAAACCTGACCTCCTTGGCCCGGAGCGGAAATGAAATCATGCAGTGCGTTCCCATGTGACATTGTCTTTGACTTCACTGCATGAGGGGACTGTGTCCCAGACCAAATGCCCGATGTTAGGGGAATGGTGAAGCAAACAAAAAGAAGTCCGCTGAGTGGAACGCTAGGTAGGAGCTAAGAAGTACAAAATACACTTTCAATGAGTTTACGATGGCATGGGACATGGCTGTTGGGTACTAAGTGAAAAGGCAAGTCTCTGCATAGACTTTGTGGCATAAACACACTGGAGGGTATACTGGTCATTCTTCATGTGTTTAACTTTTGTTATTTGCCATTTTACATATTAAATTTGAATATGCCTCAACTATCTTTTTAAAAAAAAAATGTTTTTATTGATTTTTTTTAGAGAGAGAGGGAGAGAGAGAAACATCAATGTGAGAGAAAAACATCAATCGGCTGCCTCCTGCACGCCCCCTACTGGGGATAGAGCCTGAAAGCAGGGTATGTGCCCTGACCGGGAATGGAACCTGGACCTCTCAGTCCACTGGATGACAATCCACTGAGCCACACCGGCCAGGCTCACCTCAACTGTCTTTTGTACACTAAAGGGACATTGTTTTGAATTTTCTGATTTAATCCCAAAGAAAAATGTACTGTGTGGCACACATTTCAATGTTTTGAGCTATTTCCATTTGTCCTCCCTCTGTTTTTTGTATAATTCTGGCTTGACTCGGTTATCTCTTTTTGTCTTTTTAAAGCCTGCTTTTAAAGTCACCTGCTTCCTACTCTGGATGTGTTGGTGAGGTTTCTGTTGGGAGTGGTCTGGAGTCAAGATTTGCCAATATTCCATGCCTCCCTATGAGGGCGTAGGGCTAATGGTTATCCTCTCTCACTGACTTCTTCCATCAAATAAATTCAAACGTAGGATTTTGCACTTCCCCTTCCAACCCTGAGATGTACTGTTAGAGTGCTCATAACTGCAGCCTTTCAGCAATCTGTCCTCTCAAACACAGACGTCCTTTCTCCCCAGATAACAATGACCTCTTCCATCTAGTAAGAAAACTATGTTCTCTCCATCCCCAAATGCCAACTGTTCTCAGATTCCCTATGGTGGTGGTGGTGGGGGGGGGAGGGGCAGGGCCAGGACACTCACTGCCAGGATGCTCTGAGGCTCCGTGATGTCTTCATCCTGGGAAGAAGCAACACTCAGAAGGAAGGGAGTGGCCAGGCGGGTGTGTGTGCGTGTGGGGTGGGATGGACAGGAGGTCAGTGAACAGTAGGGGAGGGGAGGAGCAGGAGACTGGAAATGGACCCAGGGGGGAGTCACCAAGTCCTCCGGGGTCTTCCAGGTGGGTTCCTAGAGCCCAGCCCTCACCCGTGACCAGACGCGCATCCACAGTTCCCTGGACACTTTCTCCAGCATCTTCGGGTGCTCCAAGTTCACAGCCGTGAGGAAGCGCATGGCTGACAAACTTCCTGTGGGGCAGAGGCACTCAGGAGTAGGGCTCCCTGGCTTGTTTCCCAAAGGTGGACCTGCTCTTTCCTGCATCTGACATCCTCCAGAGCTCAATCGCCCTCGGCTCCCACCTGTTTCTCATACCTGGTTTGTCCTGCTCTTTCTCCTGCTGTGTCCCCTCAACCTTCTGTTTGCTCAACTCTGAGTCTGAGTTCTCGCAGGGTTTGTGTCAGCCCCCCTTTCCTGGCCCTACAACCTCTACCTTCACTGCCTCCCATCTGTATCCCACTCTCTTCACCTTTATCAAGGATCACAGAGAGGAAATCCTTGGGGAACTGGATGGGAACCTGCATATGCTGTGCCAGGAGCTTAAGGTCACCTGACAAGTACTTGGCCTTGCGCGGGAGTAGAGCGGGCGCCTTGTTCCCTGCAAGTGGAAAGTAGGACCTGCTGGCGAGAGATGGCCCAAGAATCCCAGGGTTGGGGGACCCCTACTGGGTTTTGGGCAGAGGGAGAACGACTAGCTGCCGGTGCCCATATAAATACCCGTTTGAGGGCAGCGTCCCCTGGGCCTTTGAAATCATCCCTCCCTCAAGTCTCTGCCCCAAGCGCGGCTTCCTTTATACCACTGTCTTTCATGATCCCTGCAATGAGGGTCGGACGCAACTGCAGGCTGACGTTCCAGATGTTCTGATACCGGCACAGGATCTGCAGGAGCGCAGGCGAAGATCCGAGCCCACGAGCAGGATGGAAGGTGTGAACACGGCAGAGGGAAAGGGACGGGTGTTGCATGGCAACTGATTAGCCAGAGGCTCTGGAAGCAACGTAAGGGTCAGGGGAAACCCTAAATCGCTGGGTTTGAAAAGGCAAAACTCTCTCACTCCTAGAATTCTACCCCAGGACCTTAGTTCGTGCGGACAGTTTCCACCCTCCCCACAGCCCAAACTGACACCAGAAGGCTAAGAGGTGGCGGTGCCGAGGTTTTTTCCTGGATTGTTCGGGGCTGACCCTTTTCCAGACCGCTGTGGGGAAGCACTGCCTGAGGATGTGAGGGCTGGAGCGGAGCCAGCGACTGTAGCCGAGTCACAAACACGAAGTGACCTTCAGCCCTGGCTCTGCCGGCATGTCCTAAACTCCTCTGGGCAGCGCCAGCAACTGCGGAGACCGTGGGCCCTGCGTCCTGCGCTGGCCCTTCCCTCGGCCCTCGCCCTCCCAGGCCCGGCGTCACCTCGAAACCCAGCCAGGAGTAGGGGGACAGCACGTCGTAGAACAGCTCCAGGGTCCGCGGCAGGGGCGCCATGCTGCAGCGCCGAGAAGCGAGTGACGCTCCAGAAGACAGGGGGTGCACGTTTCCTTCTGCTGGAGCGTGGTGACTCCGCCCGCGGTTCCCGGCCTGCGCGGAGGACCGCCCCCCGCCTTCACTGCGCAGCCTCCGGGCACAGCGCGGGACCGAGTCGGGCGGCGGGGCACGGCGGGGCGGGGCGGGGCGGGGCGGGGCTGCGCCCGGGAGCGGGGTGGGTGGGCGTCCCGGAGGAGCATGCAGGCTTGGTGACCCGCGCACCTCAACGCCGCCCGGTGGGGTCTGGGGCTCAAGGAGGTGATTTGAGACGCGAGCCTCGCCTCTCCCGTAGCTGTGCGCCCTCGGCAAGACTCTCAACCTCTCTGAACCTCAGTTTCCTCATCCGTCATAAAAATGGGGATACTTAATGATACCCCCGACCTCATTTAGACTTGGGAGAAGCGAAAGGATTCAGATTGGCAGTTGCAGGAACCTCCCGGGACCGGGGCACTATATCTCTATCTCAGAGCTTAGCACAATGCCTGGAACATATCTGGCCATCAGAACATATTCTGTGAGTGAATGAAGGAGAGGAGGAAGCCTTCCTGCAACGACCATTGGAATGATAGTGGGAATGGCCTGTCTTACTTGTATTTGTGAATGTCATATTGCCTTATATTGGGATTACATTTATCGCACAGGCAGAACTTTGTAACGTTTCATTTAATTAAAAAAAATTTTTTTTTTTTGCTTTTATCTTCCAACAGAGTGGGAGGGAGGGAGAGAGGGAGGAAGAGAGAGAGAGAAACATCGATGTTAGAGAGACACATCAAGTGGTTGCCACCCACACACCCTAACCGCAACCAAGGACAAACGGCAACGGAGGTGCATGCCCTTAGCGGGAACCCAACCCTGGTCTCTCTGGACAGCAGGCCCACGCTCTAACCGCTGAGCCAAACCAGCCAGGGCTAAAATTGTTTTTAACATTACTACTTTTATGACTTGGAAAACACATGGCAATAAAGATTCCACTTGTTTGTATTTATTAGGAAAAAACGTAGGCTATCAGAATACAAAGACACAGTATAAATATTTACATAGAATAGAACATACATAAAATGGAATGAGAAATGATGTCATCACTGCACACTTGCAAATTAATTGCTTCATGATCCCTGATGCTGAAAAATTATATTTTGTTTTTCTGTATAATATTAATTTTAAAGTATCCAAGAATAATTTAGCCTGGTAATAATAAGATTTTATTTTAAAAACATTATCACTTATTTTTTAAAATGTTGGTATTTGGAAATAATTTTAGACTCACGGAAGACTTGCAAAGAGTACAGAGTTTCTGCATGCCTCTCATCCAGCTTTCTCTCAAGTGAGCATCTCATGTAACCATGGTATAGTGATTACACTAAGAAGCTAGCACTGGTACATTACTATTAGCTCAATTACAGTACACACTTCATTTGGATTTCACCATTTTTTTCCACAAATGTCTCATTTCTGTTCCCGGGTCCAGCCCAGGACACCACACAGAGTTGTCATGTCTCTGCAGTCTCCTCCCATCTGAAAGTTCCTTGACTTTTTCTTATGTTTCATGATCTTGACATTTCTGAAAAATATTGGTCAAATATTTTGTACAAGGTCCCTCAATTTGAGTTTGATGTTTTCTCATGACGAGGCCGGCCTATGGGGTCTTGGGAAGTAATGTGTACTACACAGTACTTCTCCAATCCTTTCAGGGGGCTCCTGATAACATGACTTATTACCTGTGATGTTAACTTGGTTAAGGTGGAGAAACTGAAGTTTCTCTGCTGTAAAAATCACTACTTTCTTCTTTTCATTCTCTCCTCTTTGGAAGAGAGTCACTAAGTATAACTCCCTCTGGGGGTTGAGGCAGGGGTTGGGAAGATTAGACCCACCTCCTGCAGAAGAACAGCAAAGAACATATGGACGTGTTAAAACCACCACGATAATAAGACATATTTCAGGGGAGATACTTTGAGGCTACACAGATGTCCTGTTCTTTCTTAAACTTCCACCAACCAGTTTCATCATTTATCAGTGGATCTTGACCGAGTAATTACTACTGTGCTGTTCTAATGGTGCTTTTCTGTTTCCCTCATTTCTTCAACATTTATCAATTGGAATTCTTTTGAAAACAAATTTATTCAATCATTTATAGCAGTATGGACTCATGGATGATATTTGAGAATCATAGAATGGTAAGACGTTGATCTAGGCTTCTACATGCTGTTTCCATACATTATTATTATTATTATTGCTGCTGTTGTTGTTGTTGAGTTGGGCCTTGTGGATAATATTGAGTGAGACAACAATAGCGAATAGGGACACTTCTATGCACAGTTATCCTCCTATTGCTGAGAGGAGTGTCCAGTATTGGTTAGAGTTGTTGGAGCAAGAAAGAGTATGTAAGTCAGTTATTTAAAGTAGGAAAAGTAACTACTAGAGGAACTACACATGATATACTGTAATTACAAACTTTTGAGGAGGGAGAAAGGGGGTATGTAAACCAATTTCATCTTTCATGGACAAGTTGATGATATTGTCTATAATTGAAACACCACTAGCACTTTATTATGTAATTTGGAATTAAATATCTGAAACCAGAAATGCTTTAAATAAGTTGCCTTTTCAAATCAGTAAAAGATGGATTATTCAGCAAATGGTGTTGAGACAGCTGGGAGGTTTAGATATAATGTAGTTGGACCCATACCTCACACCTTACACTAGGAACATCTTTGGATGGATCAAATATTTAAATTTTAAAGAGAGAAACCAATAAAGTACCCTGGGAACTACAGAAAAACCTTTAAAAAAAATCTTGTGCCCTGGCTGGGTAACTCAGTTGATTAGAGAATTGTCCCAATATGCCAAGGTTGTGGGTTCAATGCCCAGTCAGGGCACATACAAGAATCAACTAATGAATGCATAAATTCTTTCTCTTTCTCAAATCAAAAATTAAATTAATAAAATTTGGAGTAGAGACAGCTTTGCTAACTGTACTACTAAATGCAGAAAACTTAATAAAAGATTTATCCATTCAATTATATGAAATTCAAAAAAATCTGTTTGGCCAAATCCAATAAGTCAAAAAATAACTGGGAAAAATATTAGGGTTCATTTCAGTCAAAAAGCAAATTATCTTAGTATGGAAAGAGCTAAAAAAAAAAAAAAAATCAACGAAGTAAAAGAACAGAAGCCCAGTGGGCAAATGGGCAAATGTAATGAACAGAACATTCACACGAGCGGACCTAGAGAAGGTTCTGAAACAGAAAAAAGCCAAAAACCCTGTTTGCACATGCTAAGGAAAATCTCAGGTTGAAATTACACAAGGACATCTCTTCACCTATTGAGTTGTCAGGGTTCAAAAAGCTTGACTCAGGGTGTGGGAAAGTCACTGTCTTATGGCACTAGTGGGAGTGGATGGATATTCGTACAACATCTAAGGAAGGCAGTTTAGCAATATCTTTCTGGTTTCCAAATTCACACACACCCTTCGACCTAGCAATTCCATTTTTAAGAATTTATGCTCTGAACACCTGTGCCTGCATTCAGTATTATGTGCTATGAGGTTATTTATAACGGCATTGTTTGCAATGGCAAAAATTAGAAACTACCTAACTGTTCATCGATGTGGGACTAAGTCAGTACACCAGTATTTATAATATTTTCAACGTTATAAAGGATTTGGAAGCTTTTCATCTATTAATACTGAATTCTATCCTTTATATTAAGTGAAAAACAAGGTGTAAAACGGTGCATGTTTTTGGCTCTCTTGTTTTAGGCATTGAAATTCTAAGTGTGTGGGTGTACACACGACATGCGCTTGTGGATAGGCTGAGTGGGGAGACAGAAAGCTGATGGGAATTGGTTGCTTTGGAGAAAGGAATCTAGGTGACTGGGGGTGGGGCAGGAGAGAGAGTTTGGTTGTGCATCATGTTGAACACTTTTTGATTTTTTGACTGGTGAATACAGCATCTACCCAGAAAGAAAGACAGGTAGGAAGGAAGGAGAGGGGGAGGGAGGGAGGAAGAAAAACTAAGGAAGCAAGTTACCTTTAGAAACTTGTCCTCGCAGAACGGGGAGGGAGTTGCAAGGAGACTTATTTATACGATTTATTTCCATTTGTGTATCTTGCTTAGATTTAAGAAAGAAGTCAATGATGAAGGCCACGTAGGAACACAGGGGATGCAGTTTTAAGATATTCTATTTGCCAGGATACGACTGAGTATTTACATCACTGGTTCTAAGCGCCTGACATTTTCCCAGGGATTCACCCAGGGCTGTGTGGAATTCTGTGTGCTGGCTTTCGCATTTAGGAAACCAGACCAACATGTGAGCGAGTGAAGTTGACATTATTGCCGTTCTCATCCTGGATATGCGATGCTATGTTGAAGGAGGTGAGCCTTGGCAGGCCAGGGTACTTTAAATGTGATTAATAAATGGAGTTGGAACATCTCGCAGTTCATCAGGTCAGGCCAGTGTGACAACATCACAGCTGGGAGCAGCTAATACAGTCTGTCACTGTAGCCTTGTAAATGCCTCCAAAACTTACTGGGCATGTGGACAAAAAATGCAAAAGCTGTATTAGCGGTTATACGCAATTTTTCTTCATTTCTCAGACTCCCTTTGAGGTTTTCATGGTTTCTTTTTGTTCTTTTCTTGTCTATAAAATAGCTCTGTTGAGGAAGAACTGAAATACAATCACCTGTGCATATTTAAAATGTAGAGTTTATTAAAATTTTTTTTTTCTTTATTGATTTTAGAGAGAGAGGAAGGGAGAGGGAGAAAGAGATGGAAACTTCGATGAGAGAGAACATCGACTGGCTGCCTCCTACACGCCCCCCACTGGGGATCGGGCCCACAACCTGGGCATGTGCCCTGACCGGGAATCGAACTGGGACCTCTTGGTGCGTGGGTCGAGGCCCAACCACTGAGCCACACCGGCTGGGCTTAAAGTGTACACTTTAATAAGTTTGGAC